GAGAGACAAGGGGGTAAAAAGGGGGAGAGAGAAGAAGAGAGGGAAGAAGGAAAGGAAAAGAAGTTACAAAGGACCGGAACAAGATATAGAGAAACAGGACCTATTTAGAGATAATGGGTGAAAATCTAACTGAAAAAGGGATTCTGTAAAGGTACATAAGATTGTATTGTTATATTAGTAATAGAAATAACTTTAGAAAATTGGAAACAATGTATGATTAAAATGATGGATAAAATAGTTAGTGTAATTTAGTGAAATGTTTGTTAATAAAATAAGTGAAATAAAATAAATGAGAAAATTGAATTAGGAAGGAATGGGAACATTTTAATTAATGCTTTATGAAATATAAGTGAAGAGGGGGGAATTAATTATGGAAAGCTTATAATTGTTCCCATAGAAGTATGATATTTAATTGAAAAGTAATGTTAAAGAAGTTAAGATTTTAATGAATATTAATATTAATGATAGAATTGAATTGGAATGGAATGTGTTGTTTTAATTGTATACATTTATATTTTTTTCTTTTTTAAGAATATTTTAAGAATGTACCAAGCAGAATCCGAATGAAAGTTATATATTATATTGAATGTTATAACTTTAGGGTATATATTGAAGCCTAAATAAGAGTTAAATGGATAAACTTAAAAGATATAAAGGCGTCATACTCCAATCAGTAACTACAGGAGAAATTTTGTTTAATGAGAAAAGATAATAGATAATTGAAACAGGACAGACAAAAAATATAAATACAATGATTTGAATTGAGATGAGATAATTAAAATAAAATTGAGAAAATTAAAAGAGGGGAGAAGCTATGCAGAAAATGTAAAATAGTAATAAGATATGGAATAGAATATAAAAATGAGCATGAACTTGAATTTGTGTCTGTACGAAGAAATGTAACCCGGGATTACGCTACTTTAAAAAAAGATGTTTTATTTGTATTTTTTTTCTCTTTGTGAAAACTCAGATAAAATTTACAAAAAAAGAAAAAAAGAAACACAAGTGAGACACGCACATTGTCCACAAATCTACCAGTTTGGGGTAAAGTATTATGCAACTTTTATGTTGCCATTCTGGGCCAGACAGAAGATGCCTGTGGAGGCCATGGATGATGGTGACTCAGGCCATTATAAATATACAGTTACCGCAGCACACACTCTTTGGTACTGCGTTTGAAGCTGCAGTTAGTCCAATGGTGATGCCAAGGATAAGCTGTGTAGCACCAGCATGGCAGTCATTGCGTCCATAGCCATAATTTCCAGGTCAGATTTAAAGTGCTGGTGTTAAGCCATCAACTTCCAAATCCAGGCCACCCCTTCCAACTAGAACCAGTCCCTCACCCACAAAAGTTTGGGGGCACTGGAGATGAGGCCTTAGGGATCCCAACGCTGTGAACAATCTATTTATGGAGTGAGGTTCACTTGGCCCAAGTTTTCTGATCTTCTGTAAAGGCAGTCCAAATTATCATGTCCTGACAGATGTTTTGGTGCTTGTAGTTAAATCTTTTTTTGTATCTGGACTATTTCATTTAGCCAAGAATTTCAATGCTGCGAATTAAATATTGTTGTCATGCCCCTGTTGGAGCCTGAATCTGTGGGTTAACACAAGCTATAACCTGAGCTGACAAAGATTGAGGGGGTGGCTTTGTTGTCTTTGGAAGAAAATGGGGAAGGCCAGGGACTTTCAGGATGAGAACAGCTTGTAGACAGGGAAGAACAGGGGCAGGATGAACATGGGAGACAGAGCTCAGGCGATGAGCAAGGACCACTCCCTCCTGATCCAAGAGCTCAGAGAGTGGAGAGAAGGCGTGAACAGCCTGAGTAGGCTACTCGGGAGAAGAGCGCCCCGCCCATCTTCACAAGGTACACCTGAGAAAAATATATATATTTGTGTTATATACTAGATAGGGAGATTGATATTAAGGTAGAATGAAGGTGGTTCGCTCGAATTATTAACCAGAGGGGACAATTATATTTACAGATAAGGATTGATAAAATGACAAATGTGACAGAAAAAAGTAATATGAGAAATGACAACAGAAATGAGATGAGAATTTTAGATAACATTGTAAAATAAGATATGAGAATGTATTAATATAACATGAATTGGATAAGCTTAATATTTAACAATAATGATGACGCAATATGAAACTAAACAAATATAATGAACACAGGTAACTATGGTCATGTTTGTATTGAGATGTGAAACCTGGAGCCACACTGCTTGCCAAATGATAATTTTTTATTTTAAAAAATAAAATAAAACCAGGGAGAAAATTGAATAATGGAATTACTAGGTATGTTTAACTGATATGGTGGTAGGCATTTGGAGAGCTTTGAAAGGTTGAAAATAAGCACTGAAGGATTATGAATTAATGTGAAATATATGCATTGAGAGATATGATTGATATTATTAATTTTGCCTATACTAAAATGTATGATATATTGATGCCACACTATTAATGTATTGTTGTGCATATGCAGGTTGAAATAAAAAATTTTGGGGAAAAAAAGGCATACCTGGGGAATGAGACTTAAAGGAGGTGCAGGAGAGGTGCTGTGAGGAGGGGCATTTGTTGGGAACAAAGGCTGAGTTCCTGAAGTGTTGTGTTCTGACTTTTGAACTTTCCAAGAGTCCTTGCATTCCTGTGGGCTGGACTAATTACCTGGATCTTTTGCTTCCTGAACTCCTTGTATAGCCTTGGTTCAGATAGCTCTGGGTTGCACTATTTGCAGCCAGAGGCTGCTTGAGGTTTGGGTGGGGGTTTGATATAAGACATAAGACATAAGAATTTATTTGTCATTACACTCGCTAGCGGGTGCAACGAAATGAGGTGCTCTTCCACAAAGTAAAACTGGACAAACACCACTAAAAGAAAAAAAATTGAACTAAACACAACCAACCATACAATAATCTCTATGCAATTTAAAAATGTAAATACCCCATTACTCTCAGCCATTTAAATTCCACAAAAATCTTATGACCCTGCATTCAAACTCAAAACTGCACTTGGATAAAAACTTCACTCTGCTCTGGGACTTGCCAGAAACGTGGGAGCGTTTGGGGAAATTTGGAGCACTGAAGGGATGGTTTGAACTTCCAGCTGTTTGTATTATCTCTGTGCCATGCCCTGGGTCATCACAACTGTGTTGTGAGTGTCTTGGCATATTTTTTTGTTTAATGTATGTGTATATTTTATTCACACTGCTGTAAAACCCTTTGGGTCATCTCCACTGCATGCCCAATCACATGTAACACAAATAAATTAAGACGACCTTGATAAAAATCCTCTCTGGTTTCTTTGGTTTTAAAAAAACCCATTCTGGACACAGGCTCTCAACCAATCAGTAGCAAGCACATTATTTATTTAAATTAGTTTTACAAACTTCTCTTGATTGGTGAAAGACATGTGGATGTAGTGAGAATCATTAAAAAATAGTAGCCGCTATAAATCAATCAAATTCTATTATATTTGGAACAACTTTTTAAAAAATTAAAACCCCTTTCTTTCTTTCTTTTGCAGCCTATAGACACATTTTAACTTTTGAAGAGCAGGGTTTCGTTTTAAGGAAATGTTTGGAAGCTGTGAAAATGGTTTTTAGCTTCATGAGAAAGGTGGATTTTCTAATATTAATTGCCATTACGACAGTTTCCTAATTCAGAAATCTATCAAGGCAGTAATGAGGCAGAAAGAGCGTGTTTAAATGACACATTTCCCCAAAGTGAAGGCTGGGGACTTTTTCACACATGCATGGATCATTTGCTGTTACGCTGATTTGCAAATATGAATGACTGCGGATTAAGCACCACATAGACTATTTTCAAGTCCCCAAATACCACTTTAAGCTTAAAGTCGTACACTTTAAGTACAATGGGGAATCTGTAAATAACATTTCAATCAGCAAGACTCAAGTTCATCGTGCGTAATTTCTCTCATTGCTTTCACTGTGTCATGAGGTAACTCATTTTATCGGTATCCATCATGGTAGCTTGCCGTGAAGTCAGTTCATATGGTCATCTCTCTGATGCCTAGTAATATCTCAGTTTTCCTTTTCCAAGTGTCCAAACCGAGATTCCCTCCTCCTTTGTAGTGGTTGGGGCCCAAAAGAAATTATCTACCTTATTAGAGGCAGTATCCTGGGCTCTCAAATCCTGCTCTTTCTGAAATAAGTCAGATCCAACTTATCAGGGTTCAGCCAATCTCTGGCTATGAAACCATGAGATAAGTAAAAACACCCCTAAATCCCATCCTGACTTAATTCCTGGAAAGGGGAACCATATGAGACAGTGATGGCTAACCTTTTCAGCACTAGTGCCCAAAGTACGCACACCCACACCCCCAAAATGCAATGTGTGTGTGTCCCCCGCCCATGTGCCCCGCGCATGTATGGCAGAGACCCGAAGACCAGCTGGCCAGCAGGAGGCGTGTGCGCGTGCGTGATGGAGCTGAGCTGGGACGACGGCTCATGTGCCCACAAAGAGGGCTCTGTGTGCCACCTGTGGCATGTGTGCCATAGGTTTGCCATCACGGATATAAGGCAACAGTCAGTTCTTGACTAAATGAAAGGAGAAGTTCAGAATTTAGCCCAGGAAGCTGTGAAAACTTCATGCTCTCTTGCAATACCATTCAATCGAGAGGAGAGCTGGATTTCCTCTTATTTCTAGTCCATCAGGTCCTCACAGACGGTTGACATTCTTTGCATTCCTGCTCAACCATTCTGATAAGGGTAAACTAGAATCTTCCAGCCACTGAGACCTGACAGAGGGGACTCCATGACTGCTGTGTCCCAACAACACAACTGTCTTCTCCTCTGAGAGAAGTCTAACATGGCAAGGGCTGCACAACAAGAGGGCCATCCTGAAAACTGGCCCTGGCTGGGACAGCACACGCAAACAAGGAGGGGACTTCAACTTCCTTCTCCGGCGAAGTTGATGATGCCACCCCTGCTTGCAAACGAGTGACTGTATACATATGCATGTATGCATGTATCTGTATACATGCATGTGCATACATATAGGTATGTACACCTGAGCTAGTCCCAATTCATCACTCACCAACACCTGTGCTGCACTTGAGTGCCAAAAGCTGCCTATTTCTGTCCTAAAGTATCATGCTGGGATTATGGGGGAGTCATCCATGTTCTACTCTACACCAAGAGCATCCAGTGGAAGAATAACTGGCAACTGACCTCCTGCTTCTGCTTGGCTCTGGTTGGCTGACTCCTGCACGAAAGGAGAATTCTGAGGAAGGAGATACCAGGCAGTGAGCTGAACACACAAACTGGAAAAACACTGGGAAAGAAGGCAACGATGGGAGGCAAATCACATCCCTAGGAGGAAGGGGGCACCTATGAAGGACATTAAAGGAGGCTGAACGTCAGACCATATCTCAGGCCTGTTATTCTGCGTGGTTCAGTTCAACCTGGATGCACAACCTAAGCTCCATCACTACCCATTGCTCAGCCTGGTCATGGGTGGACCTCAGTGTGACTTTATGAACTTAGCCTAAACAGATGCAACCTGACCACAAAGATTCAGTGGCACCGCCGTTTTCCCAAGCCAGGGTTATCCGTATTTCTCTGGGGTGAGATCATCCTCATTATCTGACTTGGAAAAGTAGGCAGAGCTCTTACTCCACCCACCCAAAACTGGTGGACTTGCAAAGCACAACTCCTTTCAGACCACGCTTTGCCTGCTCACATCCATATTGTATCCCGGGGAGCCAGAGCAGTTTTGGCCAAAATCAATGAAAATCCCATCGGAATCGGAATCGATCGATTCTAAAATCTGGTCCACTATGTTCTCAGGGCTGGCTGTGGGAGCAATGGCGAGCAAGTCCGAGTCCTGGCCTAACTCAAATGCCCTGGTCGGGTTCTCTGTGGGATAGAAGAGTCCTTTGGATTGATCAGACACACATTGTATTGAACCGGCCGAAATCCTCTCCTGTTCTCCTGCTGGCAGGATCTTCATGGTGAGCATGGAGCTCTTGGATCCATTGTCTGTGATGGTTGTGAGATTGGAATAGCCCAGCATCTCACCGCAGGAGGTCATTTCAGAAACCGAGTGTCGTCGGATGCTCGAGCTGTTGGCATTCGTGCCTTCTGTCTCATACTCGGCTACGGGAGTCAACAAAGGGTTGTTGTAACTTTTGGATCTCACCACTGGATTCTTAGCAAGAATATCCCCCGATTTAGAGCGCCGAAAGAAGCGTTTTTCTGTTAACAAACACAGAGAACAATTAAAATCTTCATAGGGTCCCTACCAAGACAACTAACCCATCGCAGAAAGACTGTGCCCGGGTATTTGGACGGTGACTTTGTCAGAGTATATTCATGAACTGGAATAGAGCATGGTAACAAGGTCAGCCAATGAATAGGCATAGCAACTAAGCCAGCCAATGAGGACTGCCTGTAAACTGAAACTAGAAGTAGCCTAGGCGTGGCTCTATATTAAGCTCTGCAGCTCTGAAGCTATGTTAAGCTCTGAGTCTGTCTATTGAAAATGAAACTAACTTGCTTGCTTACCTGCTGAAGTTACTTCCAACATGTTTCTGTCTGAGTTGGCTCCATGTTGGAGAAATATACATCTGGTTTGTAAAATCTACTTATTATGTTTATAAAGCCATTATATGAAACATCAGCCATCTGTGTTTACTTTTCTGGCGCTGAATTAACGCTGCAAAACTCTGAACAGACTTCAAATCAGTATGTGAACTTCCTTTTCTTACATTTGTTTCTATTTTTTCCTGACCATTCAACTTCCCCGTGTCTGTACAACTGTCTCCCTTGGACATGAATCAAAAGAGGAATAATGGAAAGGAAGTGTCCTCTAATCTTTGCTTCCCAGATCCTCTGTTCAGCAGTACTGTCCACATTCCAAACTTTTATTAAATTTTGGCCTCTTCAAATAGAAGCTTGGTGTTACTGTCTATTAAGAGCAGGAATCACTGACTTCACTTTCTTATTAGTTCACTTGTATACTTTATCCTATTCTTCCACATTATTTTGGTAGTTTCCATTCCAGAAACTGGTGGTGTACATCCACACCTTGTCAGAAATTCAGATTGGCCACGAGATGGCACTAGCTTAATACTGTACTTTTCCTGGGACAAAGTTGGAGCCGAGATGTTTGCAAAAGGATGTAACAACAGATTATGCAGCCAAGGATTCAATGGAGAGGCATTTGGGGCTTTCTTCTCTTTTCTGTTCTTTTCCTTCTTTTTCTGTCTACCTCATGCAAGCTACACAAGAAGTTTATACAAGTGTGTAGGGTTTGTATACGTCTATGTCCTTTGAGAATGCCCGAGGAAGAAGATAAAATTACCCCAGGAAAGAGATGGGTATTCATTTATTAATTCTTTTGCCTCCTCTTTTATTCCATACTCCCTGCTCCTGTCTTTTCCTCAAACAACAGCCCCGTGAGACAGGTTGATCCAAAAGAGAGCGACTAACCCAAAATCTACAGGGAATTTTTGTGGCTGATGATGATTAGAACCTGAGTTTCCCTACTCCTAGTCCCTACTTTCTCTACCCCACTGTGATTCTTGGACTGAGAGGAAAAGATTAACCCAAAATCACCAAGGACCCTCTGTGCTTAAGTAGGGATGAGAACTGGGTATTCCTGCTTCTAGTTCAATAGCCTTACCACTGGCTATCGGTCTGGAAGAATGAGAGAGAGAGAGAGAGACTCTGGATCAAAGCCACACAGAAATTTTACAGGGCTGAAAGAGGATTGGAGCAAGGAGATCTGAGTCTAATCCTCTTTCGGCCTTGTAAAATTTCTCTGTGACTTTGATCTCCTTGTTCCTAAGCCAACCTTTTCACCACTATGAATTCTCCCTCTTCCACTTGGAAAGCCTCCTTGGTCAACTCTACAGTCCACCGCCCTTCCTGGACAGAACTTCTACACTCCAGGCACTGCAGAGTGATTTTCACATGCTTCACAACTTTGAAATGTGAAGAAGCAAATGAATGGAATCAGGAAGTAGGTTTCAAGATGTTTTCTGATATCTGATAAGAAAGCTACTAACTCTAAAACCAGTTGACCTATTAATTTTGTAACAAGCCTTGGGGGACAACACTGATTAAGAAGTGGGTGTCGTATATACAGGTTGTCAGATTATTATTATACAGAATAAATTATTTCTGTTACGTTTATACGTTTAAGAAGATATGCTACCATTGGCCACGCTCTAGAAGTATTACCTAAAATGCAGGAAGAGTGAGTGAGAGCGCCATCACTGGAGTACAAACCGTACGTTCCCAAGTAAGGAGAAACAACCTTCTGCAAGAGAGTTTCCAACTTCAAGTAATCTTCAGTAACTCCTTTTGATTCATGAACACCCTGAAAAACCAAAAGGAGAACTCTGCTTCAGTTTTTTTAATCCAGTATAACCTGTTGGATTGACATGAATGGGGGAAGTGCAGGGTGGGAGTTAGATTAGTTTGGAACAGGAGGTCTTTAACTTGGAGAGATGATAACTAGCTGGTTCACCCATCCATGTTCATCCACCAGGAAGGAATCTGCTTAACCTGGAGATAGAAAACATCCATATCAACCTTCCTAACTAGCAGGCTCCTCTGGTTCACTTTAAGAGGTCTCCCAAGATATCTGTCCACACTGTTAGATCACTGGCCATCAATCTACCCAGTTATCACTCAATGGCGGGCCAATAGTCCCCAAGTCTTTTCTTGCTGTAGGCACCTAACCTATTTTTTCCTTCGATTTATCTTCTTCCTTGGTTAGTTTCAGTGCTGGTATAGCAATAGCAATAGCACTTTAGACTTATTTACCACTTTATAGTGCTTTCCTTTCTAAGCAGTTTAAAGAGTCAGCCTATTGCCCCCAACAATCTGGGTCCTCATTTTACCCACCTCGGAAGGCTGGAAGGCTGACTCAACCTTGAGCCTGGTGGGATTTGAATTGCCAAATTGTAGGCAGCTGGCTGCAGAAGTAGCTTACAGCAGGGGTCTCCAACCTTAGCAACTTTAAGCCTGGAGGACTTCAACTCCCAGAATTCCCAGCCAGGGGAATTCTGGGAGTTGAAGTCCTCCAGGCTTAAAGTTGCCAAGGTTGGA